CTAAAACATTTTCGTTGCTGAAAGTCATTAAAGAATACGTGGAATTTCATTTGTATTGATAAACCAATCTGAGCCACACATAAGTCATAGAAAGCTCCCTAGCACTGCAGGAGCATGATATAGAAGAATCCATAATAAAATTGATGACAGTCACAGAAATGCCATTTTCACTGCATGTCTCTGTCAGATCCCTGTAAGTAACTAGTGAAATCCGGAATATATTTTTTACCTGTATATATATATTATATATAACCTTGGCTACATTATAAAACTGACATCATGTAGGTTTAATACACTCATCAGGATTTTAGAAATGAATTTTATAGCCTAATTGCACATATTAAAGTCGCATAAAACCACTGCATCTTTGGTGCAGACACAAACAGGCTTCAACCATCATAAATGCTTCAATGACAGACGCCAGAGTTCATACAGTTCAATGCAAAATCAATTGCCCAGACTTTTCCAGGACATTATATCTGACTGAAAAGCACTGTTTCCTAGGTAAGCCACACAAAAAAATGCCTATTGACATAGGTAAATCAAGAACAACATACGTTGCCTAGATATGTCATAAACGAGAGTTATGCTACCTTGGTATCGCATAAAACAATGCTTCATTACCTATGTAAGTCATGGCTGACGCTACGTTGCAGGTAAATCTAGTTACAGCTTCGTTACCTAGGTAAGTCATGACCGACGCTACATTGCTGTAAACCTATTTCAGTCTCAATACTCTTTACATGGTAAGTCATGACCGACGCTACGTTGCTGGTAAATCTATTTCAGCCTACGATACTCTTTACCAGGGTAAGTCCAGACTACGCTACGTTGCTGGTAAACCTATTTCAGCTAACGGATACTCTTTACCAGGGTAACGTCATGAGCCGACGCTACGTTTGCTGGTAAACCAGCTCAGCTTTGTACCTAGGTAGTCTGACTCCGGCTCCTTCGATGTGAACAGATAACCGATGGCCATAGACATGTCGCAACATCTTCGACTCGAACAGCCGCAGCAGCAGCGAAGCCTTCTCCGGCCATTCGTCGCGACGACCGGAACGTCAGTCTGCGCGCCGTCACCACGGCGTCGCCACCTCCATCGCCTCCTCCTCGCCCGCGACGGCAATGCGAAGATTGAGCGTCCTTGCGATCAACCGCCGCTTCGTGACGACGCACGCGTCCACCTCCATGCCGTCGTCGTCGGCTGGCGCGTGCGCGCCCCGCGCCGCTGCCGTCGTCGCACACTGTCGAGCTCGAGTATCCGCGGTCGGAGCGCGTCTCAAACGCGTCCGCATCGCCGCTGGTCGGCGCTCTGGGTCGCTCGCACGGCCGTTGCACAGCACGGGGGCGGGCGAACAGGAGGAGTCTGCCAGCACGCTCGCGAACGCGCTGTCGTCGCCTGCGGCCGACGATTTGTGCGCGAGTCGCATCGTCGACGGGGGCACGTCGTCGCCGCGTCGACGAAGCCAGCGCTTGCCGAGCGCGCCGCGCGTCCCGTCGGCCCATCGCAGCTCGTCGTCGTCAGACATCGCGTGCTTGCGTCGCGAGGCGATAGCGTGTGAGAGTCGTTCGGTCCTGGAGCGTAGCTGGGGCTCGCAGCAGTGGCAGGCCATCGCCGTGAATTCACATGACGACCTGCGACGATGACCGAATTTCACTGCACGGGGTCGATCTCTTTACGCATATGAAAAAAAAGGTACAATTTAACGTAACAGAGTATATATACATGCACAAAGGGGAAATCTGACACACATACAAACAAATGTATAAAAACACAAGTAAACATGGTTTTTAACACAAAACGGGACACAAGCTGAGGTATTTATGCACGAGGCAATGATGAGCACTACATTGACCTTACTCCCTACTGTCCCTGCCCTTTTGACGTGCACATTATCAGGAATCAGCATGACTAAACCAGGAGGCTAATCTGACAACTTGCAACATAAGTTTAAGTATCACTATACGCTCACACTTCAATGAGCTTGGGTCATTTTATGACTACTCGTACTAACTTAATAGTTCCATGTTATTTCACGTATTAGCCAGCGAGCCGTGCAGCCGTGATTTGCACGGTCAGTTTTGAAACTGCACGGCCACAATGTGTGCACGCCCTAAATATTGACTTAAGACACCATACAAAGAAATTGGCACCCCAAATATTTTTTTGTGCACTCCCAATACTCATCCCTGGCAAATACCTAGTGTTATTTCAATTTGAAGTCGAACAAGTTCAATTTCTCGTCGAACAAGATCCAACATGTTTTTATTGCTTATCTTCTAGATAAATCACCAATATGTGTGACATGAAAGGAGAAATGTAATTTAAACCACCCAAACACGTTCTGCTAGCCTTTGAAAGTCTCTTCGTAATATCATTCTGTTACCATATAATGTGTAGATATCTTAGCAGATGAAGAACTATGTCATATGGACAGTCAATTCTAAATTGTTGCTTGACCATAGAGGCCCCACTTCAGTTTAAAAATTTGTTGCCAAGCCACAATTCTCTTACCTGGGAACTGACAAAATATATTCATAAAATAAATAATTGCCATATTGGAGTATGTTCTACTTCGTTGTGGAATATGTAAATTAGTATTCAAGAAAATACATTCATGTTGCCTAAACCAGATGATCACCGATGAGTGCACAGATATATTTGCAGTCTCGCACAAGCACACACGTATGCACATACACCTAAATACATAAATCTGGCCAATGAATGGCACCTTGATAATAATATCCTCGAACAGCTGAACCTTGGATCAGCTGATCTTAACACATCATATGCTATTCAGAAAGGGCAAACCACATCTCTATCAGCATGTTATTTTAACGGTGACTACGTTAATATATCAATGAGCTAAAGACTGTATGTATTGAATTGAATGTGTGGGTCAGAGACACAATCCACGCAAATCAGGCAATAACGATGATCGCAAAATTTTATACAGAAATAAAATCTAATTAATAGGTTATGGGAGGGTGCACCAGACATAGAAATGTGGTCTTGGACACCTTCCATGCCCCTTTCTAAATACTCACATTAGCCACAGCTGTGCAGCTTTATCACACGTGCATTGTAACTGACATGAGCATCACTGGATAATAATCCTATTCTATCTCATGAGAAAATCCCACAGTACTTACACTGCCAAATGGAACATGAACGTGCCCACACCAGTAATGCTCTGCATTAATGCCTATTCACAGCAGATGCAAGGGCACCAGTGTGTGAAATGGCAAACACATTAGCTGTTTTTGTATGAGGCTAAACAACTGGTTGACTGGCAGATTCATAGCAAGCATGTAGAATGTTTAAAACATCATAACATCATGTTTAAACATCACTGACCCTCATTAACTAGCTAGGCATTTTCGTTGGTTTTATGTGCAGTTTTGCTTCCTGCTTCTGACACACAAAAATTGGATAAATCTTTGGGACTATCGGCACCTGGATAAATTATTAATATATCGATCTCATTGTAACCATGGCATATATATACATACACACATGCACGTACACAAGTAGCAACACACATGCACGGGATTGCACGCACACACACACGAACACGCACACACACACACAGTGCCACCACACACACGACCCGACCACGCACACACACACACACAGTGCCACCCACACTAAAGAGTATCGTAGCTGAAATAGATTTACCAGCAACGTAGCGTCGCTCATGACTTACCCTGGTAAAGAGTATCGTAGCTGAAATAGATTTACCAGCAACGTAGCGTCGCTCATGACTTACCCTGGTAAAGAGTATCGTAGCTGAAATAGATTTACCAGCAACGTAGCGTCGCTCATGACTTACCCTGGTAAAGAGTATCGTAGCTGAAATAGATTTACCAGCAACGTAGCGTCGCTCATGACTTACCTAGGTAACGAAGCTGTAACTAGATTTACCTGCAACGTAGCGTCAGCCATGACTTGCATAGGTAATGAAGCATTGTTTATGACCTACCAAGGTAGCATAACTTCGTTTATGACATATCTAGGCAACGTAGTGTTGTTCTTGATTTACCTATGTAGCATAGCATTTTTTGTGTGGATTACCTAGGAAAACAGTGCTTTTCAGTCCAGATATATGTCCTGGAAAAGTCTGGCAATTGATTTTGCATGAACTGTATGAACTCTGGCGTCTTCATTGAAGCATTTATGATGGTTGAAGCCTGTTTGTGTCTGCACCACAGATGCAGTGGTTTTATGCGACCTTAATATGTGCAATTAGGCTATAAAATTCATTTCTTAAAATCCTGATGAGTGTATTAAACCTATATGATGTCAGTTTTATAATGTAGCCAAGGTTATATATATATATATATATACAGGTAAAACAAATATATTTCCGGATTTCACTAGTTACTTACAGGGATCTGAACAGAGACATGCAGTGAAATGGCATTTCTGTGACTGTCATCAATTTTATTATTGGATTCTTTCTTATTCATGCTCCTGCAGTGCTAGGGAGCTTTTCTATGACTTATTGTGTGCTCAGATTGGTTTATCAATACAATTGAAATTCACACGTTTCTTTATGACTTTTCAGCCAACAAAATGTTTAGTTTTGCCAACTCGGAAGTAGATTTCTATCTGCCCCAGCTAGTCAATATGTACATACACATGAAAGACATTGCAGAAGCTGTTCACCCATATCTTGTACATAGGTAAGTAACTGAGTCATGAGTGAGTCATGAGTGTGCAGGTTTAGCGTCTTTGAAATTATGATATGATTTTGCTCTGTCAGCATATCTTTCAGAGAAATGCATAGTAGCCAGAACTGTGGGGCCATCTGGCCATAATAAAAATATTGTTTGTTTGCCCTCACCCGACCGGCCCGCCAAAAAGGGGCCGACTCAAACAATTTTATTGATCTTTTTTTTTCTTTTTTCTTTTTTCTTTTTTTACAAATTGTATCACTGTACATAAAATATACATCTGTAGGCAATAAATACATTATATCAGAAGTAGATAATAGGGAATTGTTCTTTATTATCTACTTCTGATTATATGTACCAAGCAAAACAATCATTCAACATCTCCACACAAGCACACCGAGCATGTAGACACCATGCTGAATTTGTAAAAAGACCCATTAAAAAAAATTAAATACATATACGCCTACCTACCTACCGAAACTTTTCAGCCTGGGTCAGGTGAGGGCAAACAAATTTTTTTTTAATTGTTGCCTGGGGTTAAACGGAAGCAGCGTGGGGTGTACTTTGTACTAGCTGGTATTTAAATATTAATCATTTTATGACCTGATGTTAAATTGTAGGTGCAGAGAAAGCGTAGATTTTAGTCTGCAGGCAGCGTGGTTGCTCGAAGCCTATGCAGCAGACTCGGGCCTTCTTTCTCGGAAGAAGAAATCACAAGGCGTCCGTCTAAAACAAAGTATACTCAATGAAGAGATAAGGTATATATATATAAATCTCTGTTTATGCATTCATATCAGGAATAAACAATAAACACGTGTTAATGACGAATATATTCCGAGTTGTAGTAACATCCATGTATGTGATAGAGATTGCTATATAAGGCTATTATACAAGAAGACATTTATTTAACATTATTATGATCTTAAAACTCCCACTAGAGTAGTTATGATTGCCCACTAGTACTGAACCTCAAAATAAGCTAGGCTTGGGTAGAGGTAACATTAGGTTTAATATGTGCATCAAACTAATCTTACCTTTGTCGCTATATTGCTTGACGGGCCTCGTGAACTTTTCATCTTGCCTGCAGGCAAAGGAAACAGAAGCCACCGACTACAAGCCCTTGCCACCCAACTAGTCCCGTAATGTCGCCCTTGAAGAAGTCGCATCAGCGCGCAAGGTCAGATGCCACAGGTATGAATAACTATACGACGACGTTCTTTCGTCGCGTTCTGTAGCGGCGTCGGCCGATGCAATCGCGCCGCGTGCCATCGACTCTAGATGCACGCAAGCGGAGGCAAGTAGACCAGTCAAATTTTCGTTCGGTCACGTGTTTTTTTCGCTCGTTGTTCTCGCAGCGCATGCTGAATCTTGCTATTGCCTGTTCTTCTTTCTGCGTGCAGTAACGAAGCAGCTGCAGCGAAAAATGTTTGGCGTGTGTAGCGGCCGGGTGTTTCTCCCAATAACGCACAAGGGCACAGGCGAGTTTGCTGTGGTGGCGATTGTGTCCGTTCTAGATTTGTTCTTCCGTCCGTCCGTCGTAGCGCGTTCTTTTTAAAATTACGTGAACGTACGAAGCTCGCGTGAATTTGTCGTTTGTGTCATAGGGTTGAGCTGTGTGTGTGTGTGTGCGTGTGTGCGTGTGCGTGTGCGTGTGCGCGTGCGCGTGTGTGTGTATGATGTGTGTATGTATGTATGTATGTATGTAGTGACCTGTATAGTGTGTCTATAGCTATGTCAGTGTGCGTTCTAAAAGGCAGCAGGTATGTGCACATGCTATCAGTGCGATGAAAACTCGGTAGATGCATAATCTTTCAGATAGATCAAGGAGAATGTTCTCATTGATATATATCATACTTGCGAGTGGACTTCTGTTAAAGAAATACGATTTTAAAAACCCGCTCATGTTTAACTCATTCTTCTTATTGTTACTGCTTAACCAAAATTTAATCAGAAATTCTTCAGAGTCGTCCTGATAAAGTAGCACAACAACATTAAAATTTAATGGCTCCAGATACAGCCGAAGGATTGTTATGTTCGATAGTGGTATTTCTCCATGCTATAGCAGCTGCTTGCTTCTAGCCCAGCTCCAATAACAATTCTCGACAAGCATTAACAATGTGTTGTTACATAATCATGTTGATATGTAGGTAGTGAGGTAATATAGAGTTCAAGCCACATTCAAATTTTCCAACAGAATTTCCTATGTAACTTTAATACCTAAATAATGTTCATTTATCATAATCCATTAATGAGCATTACCACAGTCATAAACGCCCACACCCACACACATGCATGCAACACGGTCTGTTTGCTGCATGTTTTAGCTTGGTGTGTAAAACATGTTATTTGCCATTGTAGTCTTATAGTCTTATATAGATCTGCATATGTTACATATATATTCATTTGTGCATTGCTACTGTACTCTGTATAGTATCAGTAAAATAAATTAGAACTCGATGTATATTATATTTATTATAAAATTGTTTAATCATGATAACCATTAGAACTCGCTGTTATCTTATATTGACATAATGATGTAAGAGTGTATTCTAACATCGAATGCATTAAAACGTCTGAAAATCATTGAGCCGTGTAGATGTACGTCTTGTTACTGTATTTCATGACTATACCAAACAGTATGCGAGAATAAGAACTTGTTTTTTTGGGAGGGGGTGGCAACTTAGAACTCACTGTCGTGCACAATAACATTGAGTTCATGTTACTGGTTCTCAAGATTAATCACAAATAATCACATGAAATTTGCTGCACATGAATCTCACTTTCTCTGCATAAATTAAACCTATTCTACGCGAATTGCATTTGCTCTACTCACGATTCGGACTCGTCCCATTACTGGCTGGGTACGTAACATATTAAAAATGGACTTTCTCGCTCGTTTCAGCCATTTTCCAGTTGCCACACCCTAAGCGCACTCTGTCTCTCGCGAGTCTGAAGACGATACTGGGTGACTTGACATCGGGCCGTGCGTTTGAGTCCGGCTGCACGTGCTTTGAGACCAGTGAGGGTGTGCTGAACGATCTAGTCGGCCGAAAGACCGACTGCCACTGTAACGTGAGTCGAAAGTGTTGGTGGGTCGTACGGCTCACGGAAAACTAGTTAATTTCTCAAATTCCATTGTCTGTTTTACTTTTTTGTACATACTTGCTCAGTAAAATTGGCGGGTCGTACTGCTCATGGAAAACCCTAAAAGTCCTGGGGCCCGTTGTCAGAAACAAAATTAGTCTTAACATTAACTTCCACTCGTAAACCGTTGACAGAAACATCGCAAAGTTACGAGAATGAAAAATCCTCGAAAATATCCTTCTAACATTACGAGAGCCCAGACCCTCTCGTAACTTTAATATTAAGTTGAAAATAACACATTTACACTACGAATTACAATTATAGTGATATTATATTTTATAATAATGAATAAAATGTGTGTTTTTCTTGAAAACACGTCAAAATCATTAATTATCTACCGATCATAAAACAAAACAAAACATTTACAAATGGCGTATGGCATTTGTTCTCTTGTTTTAAATGTTTGCCACGCTTCCCACGACTCTCGCGTTACAGTGTGAAAATTTGTCTTGTTGTGCAGAATAAATTCATGACCGCGTCGTAATTGTTATGTGGTTAGCCATCATAATGTGCATAAATTACTGTGTTACTTGTACTAATGTACAATAAATTTGTATGAATTTGAATTTTGTGATCGATTCTCATCCAATCAGCAGCCTTGTGATGAAGTTCCTGTTATCGTAAGTTTTCTAATAGCTGCGATGTGTTACTGTCAACGCTCCTCTCGTAACATTAACATTAGTCGTAAGTGTTATCTTAGCATTAACTTTACGATGTTTCTGACAACGGCCCCCTGGAATTTTAAGATGCCATATTCTGTTTTACTTTTTTTATACATGCCCAGAATATTGCACTTCTGATTTAATATTGTCAAAATTAGATTGCTATTATATAAACTGTTATTACGTATTTATATGTATTTGTTATATATGCATAAAACTGGGTCATTTCTTGGATAGGCATCGCGACTTGGCATACAGCGGGAATTCGTAAGAGCTCTGATGAACGTTGGTAAGAAACTACAATCCATCCAGACGAAGGAGCAAAGAGGTAAGTAATGTAATAGTTGACAGATGATTGTCATTCATATAAGCAGGGGTAGAAATTAACTTTTGAATAACGGAGTCCGTAGTCTGAAGATCAAAATTAAAGATTTGCTGAAAAAATTTGCTAATTCCGCGAGGCCGTACTCTGAAACGAACTAGTTAGTATAGCAGAATTTTCAGGGAGTCACACGGACTCCTGCATATGTCAAATCGGGGAGTCCGACAGTAAATCGGGGAGTATTTGACTCCAGACTCGCGTTAATTTCGCACCCTGTATAAGTCGACCAGACCTGCATATAAGGGTTGTTCAAAGGAAAACCCAAAACTGTGCTTTATAGACAAGGGTACATTCTATAGAATTGGCATGCTCATGTGAAAAACATGTTTAAACTGGTCTAACTTGATGGGTCTACCTGCAATTTCAAAGGGAGTGTGGTTATGTAGCTCGGACTAATAGGTGAATAGAATAGATGTGTACTAGCGTGAATAATGCACTCTTCATTTTTAGTTTTAGGTAGTTGTATATAATAATACGATAGATTAATTACATGAGTAATGAGAGAGATTAATGATTATTGTTTATCATCTCACTATTACTCATAATTGATAGCAAATATGTAAAATATCACATACGCAACGATCTAGTTGCTAGCCAACCTCTAGATGAGTAGCGAGGGACATGTGTGGTTATTTATCGCGTTCGGACGTACGGCTTCGATTGCAGCGCGTTCTTGTGTTTGCTCTGCAGCGCAGCGGCTGTTGGCGGAGCTGACGATGCTCAATCTGAATCTGCCGGCGCGCGTCTGGATGCCGGTGCACCTCGACAACGTGCAGCATCACGTCGTCAGGGTGCCGCACACGGCCGCCGTCGTGCTCAACTCCAAGGACAAGGTGTGTGTGTGTGTGTGTGTGTGTGTGTGTGTGTGCGTGTGTGCGTGTGCGTGCGTGTGTGTGCTGGGGTGTGTGTAGTGTGGGGTGCATGAGTGTGTGCTGAGGTGTGTGTGCGTGTGGGTGCGTGCGTGCGTGCGTGTGCTTGTGTGTGTGTGCGTGGGTGTGCGTGCGTGGGGGTGCTAGGGAAGTGTGGGTGTATGTGTGTGGCGTGGGTGCCGGCTGGTGTGTGTGTGTGTGTGTGTGAGTGCGTTTGCATGCTTGTGTGTGCATGTGCTACACGTATCTGTGTGAGTGGTCTCATCTGTGTATGCAGTATTACATTTGTGTCTATTACAGGCACCCTACGTGGTGGGTGCCATGCTTGCATGCATGTACGTGTGTGTGTGCGTGCGTGGTCTCGCGTGTGATTACTTACACGCGTGTGTCTATTGCAGGCACCATACATGGTCTACGTGGAGGTGCTGGAGTGTGACGACCGCGAAACCGCGCCCGTGCCGGCCAAGATCCTCGAGAACACGCTGCGCTTCACGCGCTCCGAGGAGAACCTGCCCGAGTTCTTCTCGCGCACCGACGGCCAGCAGGGGGCGCCGGCGCAGTTCTCCATCGTGCCGGCCGTCGACGACGACTACGACTGCTGGTCGCTCGATCAGGACGACCTCATGCAGGTGCGTGCACGCGTGAGGGTGATGCAGGTGTGCATGTGCGGGGCCTGATACAGGTGCACGCGCGTGTACGTGTGTGGAGTGTTTCTTGAAGCGAATGGTAAAAGACCTCAGAGTGCCGCCGGGGTCAGATGTCAACAACATTTTTATTTTTTTTTTTTTTTTTTTATTTCCAGATTACATCGACAAAGCATACAGTAGCATATATAGTAAAGATACATTATACAGTACAATATTGGTAGTCGTGCACAATTCGCAGTAAATACAATGTAGTAACATAAAAGTGTACCTAATACAGGCTCTAATATAGGTTGTATATATTGTCGGCAACTTCGTCAAACAAGAGTCAGTCGCGCGCAAACGTTCGCTACGTTTGCGAACATTTCATTCAGTCTCGCTCGCCGACAACGACAACGACGACGATTTAAGTAACGAGGTCCGTCGTTAATTATCATTAAATATTAAGCGTCACGCGAGCTTCCCGCCTTAACGAGCCGCGCGTCTGCCCCGTCGTTGCAGTACTCCGTGAATCGGCAGGGCGCACACGACACGATCTCGCAGTTCTCGCAGGACAGCTGCACGAGCTCGGACAGCAAGGAGCCCGTGTTCATCGCCGCGGGGGACATCCGCAAGCGACTCACCGAGCACTCGGTCGTGCCGAAGAGAAACTTCCAGGTACCCTGTGCTACGCGCGGCGGGGGGGGGCCTCACCGAGCACTCGGTCGTGCGGAAGAGAAACTTCCAGGTACCCTGAATATATATGCCATGGTTCACATGAGATCGATATTTAATAATTTATCCAGGTGACATTGTCCCAAAGATTTATCCCAATTTGTGTGTCAGAAGCAGGAAGCAAAATGCACATAAAACCAACGAAAATGCCTAGCTAGTTAATGAGGGTCCATGAATGTTTAAACATGATGTTATGATGTTTTAACATTCTTCATGCTTGCTATGAATCTGCCAGTCAACCAGTTGTTTAGCCTCATACAAACAGCTAATGTGTTTGCCAATTTCACACACTGGTGCCTTGCATCTTGCTGTGAATAGGCATTAATGCAGAGCATTACTGGTGTGCACTGTTCATGTTTCCATTTTGCAGTGTAAGTACTGTGGGATTTTCTACATAGAATAGAATAGGATTATTATCCAGTGATGCTCATGTCAGTAAATACAATGCAGTGGTGATAAGCTGCACAGCTGTGCTAATGTGAGTAGTTAGAAAGGGGACATGGAAGGTGTCCAAGACCACATTTCTATGTCTGGTGTACCCTCCCATAACCTATTAAATTAGATTTTATTTCTGTATAAAATTTTGCGATTCATCGTTATTGCACTGATTTGGTGTATTGTGTCTCTGACCACACATTCAATTCAATACATACAGTCTTTATGCTCATTGATATATTAACGTAGTCACCGTTAAAATAACATGCTGATAGAGATGTGTTTGCCCTTTCTGATAAGCATATGATGTGTAAGATCAGCTGATCCAGGTTCAGCTGTTCGAGGATATTATTATCAAGGTGCCATTCATTGGCCAGATTTATGTATTTAGGGTGTATGTGCATACGTGTGTGCTTGTGCGAGACTGCAAATATATCTGTGCACTCATCGGTGATCATCCTGGTTTAGGCAACTATGATGTATTTTCTTGAATACTAATTTACATATTCCACAACGAAGTAGAAACATACTCCAATATGGCAATTATTTATTTTATGGAATATATTTTTGTCAGTTGCCCAGGTTAAGAGAATTGGTGGCTTGGCAACAAATTTTTATAACTGAAGTGGCCTCTATGGTCAAGCAACAATTTTGAAATTGACTGTCCATATGACATAGTTCTTCATCCTGCTTAAGATATCTACACATTATATGTGTAACAGAATGATATTACGAAGAGACCTTTCAAAAGGCTACAGAAGTGTTAAATTACATTTTCCCTTTCATGTCACACATATTAGTGATTTATCTAGAAGAATTAAGCAAATAAAAACTGTTGGACTTGTTCGACAGAAATTGAACTTGTTTCGACTTCAAATTGAAATAACACAGGGTATTTGCCAGGGATGAGTATTGTGAGTGCACAAAAAATATTTGGGAGTGCAATTTCTTTGTATGTGTGTCTTTAGATCAATATTTTAGGCTGTGCTACACATTTGTGGCCGTGCAGTTTCAAAACTGACCGTGCAAATCACGGCTGCACGGCTCGCTGGCTAATACGTTGAAATAACATGGCAACTATTAAGTTTAGTACGAGTAGTCATAAAATGACCCAAGCTCATTGAAGTGTGAGCGTATAGTGATACTTTAAACTTATGTTGCAAGTTGTCAGTTAGCCATCCTGGTTTAGTCATGCTGATTCCTGATAATTTGGTGCACGTGCAAAAGGGAGGGACAGTAGGGTAAGGTCAATGTAGTGCTCATTTGCCTCGTGCATAAATTACCTCAGCTTGTGTCGCTTTTGTTTAAAAACCATGTTTACTTGTGTTTTTTATACATTTGTTTGTATGTGTGTCAATTTTCCCTCCTTTGTGCATGTATATATACTCTGTTACGTTAAATTGTACCTTTTTTTTCATATGCGTAAAGAGATCGACCCGTGCAGTGAAATTCGGTCATCGTCGCAGGTCGTCATGTGAATTCACGGCGATGCCTCCACTGCTGCGAGCCCCAGCTACGCTCCAGACCAACGACTCTCACACGCTATCGCCTCGCGACGCAGCACGCGATGTCTGACGACGACGCTGCGATGGGGCCGACGGACGCCGGCGCGCGCGCTCGCAAGCGCTGCTTCGTCGACGGCGACGACGTGCCCCCCGTCCACATGACGCACTCGCGCACAAACTCGTCGGCCGGCAGCGACGACAGCGCATTCGCGAGCCGCGCTGCAGACTCCTCCTGTTCCGCCGCCCCCGTGCTGTGCAACGGTCGTGCGAGCGACCCAGAGGGCGCCGACGCGGCGATGCCGGACGCGTTTGAGACGCGCTCCGACCGCGGATACTCGAGCTCGACAGTGTGCGACGACGGCAGCGGCGCGGGGGCGCCACCGCCACCGGACGACGACGGCATGGAGGTGGACGCGTGCGTCGTCACGAAGCGGCGGTTGGATCCGCCAAGGACGCTCAATCTTCGGTTGCCGTCGGCGGGCGAGGAGGAGGCGATGGAGGTGGCGACGCGTGGTGACGGCACGCGCAGACTGACGTTCCGGTCGCCGACGAAGCCGGAGAAGGCTTCGCTGCTGCTGCGGCTGTTCGAGTCGAAGATGTTCGACATGTCTATGGCCATCGGTTATCTGTTCACATCGAAGGAGCCGGGAGTTCAGACTTACCTAGGTAACAAAGCTGAGCTGGGTTTACCAGCAACGTAGCGTCGGTCATGACTTACCCTGGTAAAGAGTATCGTAGCTGAAATAGATTTATCAGCAATGTAGCGTCGCTCATGAAGTCGGACTTACCGCTGTAAAGGAGTATCGCTAGCTGAAATAGCATTTACCACGAAACGTAGCGGGCATCGGTCATGACTCTACCTGGTAAAGAGTATTGTAACTGAAATAGGTTTACCAGCAGACTGTAGCGTCGGTCATGACTTACCTAGTAACGAAGCCTGTAACTAGATTTACCTGAAACGTAGCGTCCAGCCATGACTATACATAGTAATGAAGCATTGTTTTATGCATACCAAAGGTAGCATAACTCTCGTTTATGACATAATCTAGGCAACGTATGTTGTTCTTGATTTACCTATGTCAATAGGCATTTTTTTGTGTGGCTTACCTAGGAAAACAGTGCTTTTCAGTCCAGATATATGTCCTGGAAAAGTCTGGGCAATTGATTTTGCATGAACTGTATGAACTCTGGGCGTCTTCATTGAAGCATTTATGATGGTTGAAGCCTGTTTGTGTCTGCACCAAAGATGCAGTGGTTTTATGCGACTTTAATATGTGCAATTAGGCTATAAAATTCATTTCATTAAAATCCTGATGAGTGTATTAAACCTAATGATGTCAGTTTTATAATGTAGCCAAGGTTATATATATATATATATATACAGGTAAAAAATATATTCCGGATTTCACTAGTTACTACAGGGATCTGACAGAGACATGCAGTGAAATGCGCATTTCTGTGACTGTCATCAATTTTATTATGGATCTTTCTATATCATGCTCTGCAGTGCTAGGGAGCTTTCTATGACTTATGTGTGGCTCAGATTGGTTTATCAATACAATGAAATTCACACGTTTCTTTATGACTTTTCAGCAAACAAAATGTTTTAG